GGTTTGCCGATGTTGTAAGATGCACGCGAGTATTCCAGATTGGCGAGATGCTTCTCAAAGGAGGGAAGGCTGCAGAGTTCAGGTAGGGAGAGTTTGCAAGAATCGTACTTGGTTGTCCGCCCTTCGCAGCGAGAACTCTTGACTTGCTTCACGATCGGAGAGCCCCGCCCCCCCCTGATGTGAGCTGCTCGTGGTGACGCGTCTGGAGTTGGTGACGACGGTCGTGTGCAAATCCAGCCTTGTGTGTGACCGGAGCTCAGGAGAGGGTGTGTGATCACTGGTGAAGTGGTGGAGAAAGTGAAGAAGCCGGATATGCGGACGGTGAAGAGAGAGAGAGCCCACAGGAGGTGGGCCACGATGAAGAGTTATGGAGAGGCACTGGGGAAGGAGCGGCGTACAGCAGTATCAGCGCAGGCTCTCTGGGCTTCGTGCAGAGAGCAAAGCTGTTGGCTAGTTGCAACGAACCATATGGGCACAAGAGCGAACCATCCTACTGCAGGCGGACAAACGAGTCGAGCCCGGCGAGCGAAGTGAGTGCAGCTGGCGAAGCTACTGTACCCAAGACGTAGAGCATGTTCTAGGCACTCGGAAGGTGGCTCAGGTCCCAGGTGAGTCACTGCACCTGTGCCCATCGGGGTCAGGCTGGGAGGGCAGAGGGCAGGTTTGCAGCTCCAGGAAGAGGGCGCATTCGCTTCCAAGGCTCACCAGGCAAAGGCTTGTCCCAGCTGCGGGGTCCTGGGGCAGGAGCGTGGGGGCCGCTATCCCGTGAGAGACGGCCACCATGGCGTGGGGAGGAGGCTGCCCCCCAGTGGGGCCCTCAGAGCTGCCGGACGAGCTGGCCAGTTCCGAGCCCACCGTGGACATGGCCGCTGGTGTCCGCAGGGTGACTAGATCCTGCAGGGACAAGCGGGTTCGGTTTGGCTTTTCAGCTGTTGGCTGAAGACCAGGACCTTTGATCATCTCTTCCTGGACCCCGGAGGTTTGGGAACTTTGCTGTCACTTGCGGGCAGCCCCTTTAGCTCTTAGGTGGGAGGGTCGTGGGACGCCGTGGAGGTGTTTCTTGTCTCTCCCAGAGCTGCTGTGGGGAAGACTGAGAGGTCAGTGGGGAGGGGCGGGAAAGGCCTCCAGCTACTCCGAGGTTTTATTCAAAATGTCAAATGAAGGTACACTTTTATGGGGCGAGGAGCCATGGCTTCAATCAGATTCCCACAGGGTGCCTTGACCTTCAGAAGACCGAGCAGCTCCTGAGAACAGCAAACTTCTACCTCGCCCTTGGCAAGAGACTTAACTTCCCCACCCCAAGGGCCTGGTCTGCCAAGAAGGACATGACCCCAGGCATCAACCTCCTGGGCACACCTGGCCTTCCAGCTCTGGAAAGGACTCTGGCCCCATCCCAAGCAGGGTGGGGAACTCCACGTGTCCAGGGGCCCCAGAAGATCCTTGGTGGCCTGGACGCCTCCTGGTCCCTGCTGTGTACACCTGATAAAGGCCTCCCCTCGCTAAAAGGGCTCCCTCGAGACCGTCCTCTAACCCCAGCAACAGGGTGAGGACCCTGTGGGGACAGTCCTGGTGTCTTCCAGGCGGCCAGGCCTAGCTTCAGGGTGAGGAGGGTCCCTGAGGTCTGGTCATGTTAATCCCTCTGCGCTTGGCAGTGAGAGCCCAGCTGTCCCTCATGCTGGGCAACAGGCCATTGTCTCACCTATAAAAGCCCAGGTTTGACATCCAGCATGTTACTTAGCAAAGCCTGTCACGTTGATGGGGACAGAGCACCGTGGGGCCCCCCTGGACTGTAGCCTTGGACCAACCCCTGAAGGGAGAATATTGATTAGGGCACGCGGGTGAAGCCCAGAGGGGAGCAGTAGCTGTGCATTTGCAAGTGAAATATAGACAGAGCAGGCTGGCTGCCGGGGGAGGGTCTTGTTTGTTTGCTTTTAATCCGCCAGTTCTGCTTTCTGAAGGTCGATAGCAGCACCCTCTGTCCCCAGGCGGCCCTCACAGAAGGCGCCGCCGTCTGGCTTCCCGGCTGGGAATCAGAGCTGCTTGTGCAGAGGCATAAATCCACTCGGCCCCTGTTAATTGGCCGCGTTTTGACAGCCCTGACAGCCCTGTGGCCGCCCAGGGTTTAATCGTTTGGTCTAACGAGAGGGTTGAACACCTTCCCATTTGTCAGCCTGTCGTGCTCAGCGCGCCGCGCCCGGGCTGCCCCATACTTGTCGCGCTTGGCACGGATCTCATCTGGATCCCTGCCCTGCCTGCGTGTCCTCCCCGGCGCCTGCTCCCCGTCATGCGGACTTTCATTTACTGGGCCCTCGCCGGCTGCCAGCGCCTCACTACTCACGCTCGAGCCACCGGCCGGCACATTCTGGCGGTCCGTGTCCGCCAGTCTCCGCTTGTTTTCCCGGAACCACTTTGTTTCGTAGATAACCCTTTCCTGGGGGTGGGGACGCGCTCTGGAGAGGGGTTCTGATGGATGTGAAGGAGCCCCCAGGTAGGGGCCCGGCAAGGGAGCCTGCCACGGAGGAGGCCCCAGCGCTGACTTCAGGGCCGCTGGTGGGAGGGCACAAAGGGACTGTCCCCGGGGTCTGGGTCCACTTTCTGTTCAGCGACTGCAATTTCGGATAACGGAAGCTCTTCACGGACGGGTCACTGGAGAAGGGTTCCCCCCCCGCTCTCCAATGCGGGTATTTTCTCTGTTGGTTGCTGCCTGAGGGGTGGTTTAAATGTCACGAGTATTTCCAGATTGGCAGAGGAGCTTCTCAAAGGAGGGGGAAGGCGGTGCACGAGTAGGTAGGGGAAGTTTGCAAATCTACTTGCTTGTCCGCCCCTCCAGTCGGAGAACTTTTGACTTGGCTTCACGGATGGTCAGGAGGCCCCCCCCCCCCCCCCTGGATGTGAGCTGGCTCCGTGGTGACGGCTGGAGGTTGTGTTGGACTACGGTCCGTGTGCCAAATCCAGCTGTGTGTGTGGGACTGTGAGTCTCAGAATTGGTGTTTGCATTTGTGAATGGGTTGCGGGAAAAATGAAAAGCCGGATATTTCTGGACGTGTGAAAATGATGTGAATCCACATTTCAGTTGTCCACATGAAAGTTTAATTGGAACACTTGGAACACGGCCATTCTTTACACATTATCCACGGCAGCTTTCTGTGCTTCTGCACAACAGTCAGCCCACAAGCTGTTGGGTAGTTGGCCACAGGAACCATATGGCAGCAAAGCGAAAACATTCCCTACTGTGCAGCCTGTGACAGAAAACAGCTCTGGCACCCCCTGGGTTCGAGCAGGTGATCTGGAGTGTGGCACTTGCCATTTTGAGTTTCACCTGTGACCCCACAATGAAGCTCTATGTATGTCCCATTCCAGGGTTTGGACATTGCAAAATGGGAGGGTTTTGATTTTTTGTGTGTGATTGTTGTGAGTATTAAATAAGCTAATGCTTTCAAGCTCCCAGCACATGATATGGTGCTTATTAAATGAGAGCCGCCTCTTTACCTTGCTCTTGGAGTGTCCCTTGAAAGACTTTTTTTCCCCTCCCATGGCAGATGCTAATTTATTCTTATCCTGCATTCCGGAGGCCGTCAACAGAGCCTGCCCTGAGGCTAGAGCCTGAGAGATTAAATGAAAAGGGGCAGCCTTGTCCGTGGGACATCTTGGTCCCCCAGCAGGTGACAATGCCATGGACAAGTGCTGCGGTAGAGTTGCGGTGTTTTGGGAACACAGAGGGAAGGCCGTTAATTCAGCCTGGGGTAGTGGGTAAGGCTTCAGAGAAGGGAGGGGGTGCCTAGTGGTTAGCATTGCCAAGCGGGTACCCTGCGGAGGTGTGAGAAGAGCCGGGGAGCTCAGGAGGTGATCAGCAGTGGCTGGCTCGTGTTAAGTGCTCACCAGCTACCAGGCGCAGTTCTAGGGTTGGTGAGCTCTGATCGCATCTCATCTCACTGCCCCAGTGAGGCAGGTGTCGTTGCTGACCATACCATGCAGATGAGGGGACTCGGGCACAGAAGGGTTAATTATGTACCAAGGTGTGGCTGGGGTTCAAGCCACAGGCAGTGGGCTCCCAAGCCCAGGGTCCTGATCACTGGACCACAGAGCCACATCGTGGGAACCTGCCCTTGACCACAGGCTTTGGGGCTTGGACTTGAGCCTGGGGGCAGTGGGGAGCCAGGCGGGCTTAAGGGGACAGCGCTGCGATCAGGGAGTGTCTTGAAAAACAGAGTCTCTAGGAGCACGGCGGGCCTCATACGAGGGACACTGACATTCCTCCAAATGTCGGCCACCCTCGGGCATCACCTTGCCCCTGTGTGCTTAGACCTTCAGTGGGACTGGCTGAAAATAGAGATGATTCCGACCCACGCAGTGAACGTCATCCTCTTCGTGGGGCCATGGGGGCAGCTTGTCAGTCACTCGCATGCCCTGTAGACCCTGTCGTGCAATGGAGCATGTCACTTGCCCAGCTGGGTGACCTTGGGCAAGTCACTTCACCTCTCCGTGTCTTAGTCTCCATCTGTCAGACTGGGATAACAACTGTGCCACCCTATGGGGTGGTCAGGAGAGTTCGTGAGATCGCGCACATAAAGTTCTTGGAGCAAGTGCCCGGCAACTTGGCGAAGTGCCCGGCAACTTGGCGAGTGCTCAAAATGATAAGTGTCAGATAGTAGTAGCAGCAGTGTTAATGTTGTCGCTGTCATTGCTGTTACTGCACCCCGGTCTTGAGTGCCATTCCTAGGACGTGGCTGCACAGTTGGCAGCGTCCAGTGCCAGCATGCGTTGGTCTCCAACGCTAGGTCTCTGGGCATATGGCTCATAAGGTAGAGCAGAGCATCCGGGATCTCTTTGTGTCCAACGAAAGGGCTGAGGGTTGGTTGCATCCGCCCTCAACACACATACTCACATGCACACACACACTTAACACACACACACCTGGGCAGGCTGCGGGTTTTCTGGCCTCAAAGCCAGGAGCAGCCTGGGCTGGGACCCTTATGGCTGGCGATTGTCCCCTCCCACAGGACCGGGTGGCCCTGCTGGAGCGGGTGGCCCGGGAGCACGAGCAGTACCGGGCGAGCGTGGACGAGTTCCAGCTGTGGCTGAAGGCCGTGGTGGAGAAGGTGGACGGCTGCCTGGGGCGGAGCTGCGAGCTGCCCACCCCGCACCGCCTCTCCGCGCTGCAGGTGAGCCGGCCGCGCACGCGCCGGAGGGGGCTGAGGTGTCTGCTGACGGGGTGCTCACGTGCTGGGCTCGGTGTCATGGTTGATTTGATAGGACACTGCTGGGTGCCCGGGAGATACAGACACCCGCACGGCACACGGACCCCCGTGAGAAGCGTGGCATCCGCTACAAACTGCCTGGGGTCTGGGCTGCAGGATGGAAATCTCGGAGCCAGCAGGGCATTTGGAGACAGCAGCCTAGGCCAGCGGGTCTCAAATGGGGGGCGTTTGGCCATGTCTAGAGACATTTTTGTTTGCCACAACTGGGTGCTACCACAGCTTCTATTGGGTGGAGACTGGGGTGCTGCTCAACACCCTGCAGTGCTCAGGACAGCCCCCCGCAACGAGGACTCGTCCAGCCCCACAGTCAGCAGTGCCGAGGGGGAGAGGCCTCGTGTGGCAGCAGCCTGCAGGGGCAGGAGGTCTAATCCAGCCTGTCTCGCTTGGCCTTGATGAGCCTGAGTCCCTCTGTAAAGTGAGCGGGTAGATTGTCTCCAGTAATTCAAGGGCCACTTTATAATTTTCTACACAACTGTGCAGCACCTGTACTGTTCCTTTAATATTTGCATTTAAATGGCTAGCTTTTTTAAAAATTGGTGATCCTTTATTGAGAAAGAAAACGGATATCACTGTCATAGATGGAAAAGCCAGCACCGTTCACCCATTTGCAGTTAGTAGGTAATTAATGGACAAATGTGTTTATTTGTAGGAATAAATGTAGTGAAACCAAACGGAGCCATCAGGTCCTGTCTGAGTCCAGACTTGCCGGCTGAAGGCTCTGAGCCTGAGGCTGCCCCTCTCTTTGTTAAAAAGGAAGATGAGCCAATGTCAGGAAGTGTTACAGAAAGAGAAGCACCCAACAGGGACTCTCTCCCTGCCTTGGTCCAGTGACTTGAGAAAGATCTGGGGAAGGAACAAGGCTCCCGTGTTGCAAGTCCAAGTTCTAAGGCAGACGCCGGCCCTTGGGAAGGCCCCTCTGGCTCCAACCCGAGTCTCGGAGCGGGTGCTCTGCAGGGCATTCCCAGGGCTGCCTGGAAAATGCAGCTGATGTTTCCCTCCCACCCCTTCTCCCCGCAGGACATCGCCAAAGAGTTCCCCCGCGGTGCCGCGTCTCTGGGGCGGCTGGAGCAGCAGGCCGTGGGGGTCATCCAGAACTCCTCCCCTCTGGGCGCGGAGAAGATCACGGGGGAGCTGGAGGAGATGAGGGAGGTCCTGCGGAAGCTGCGCGTGCTCGGGGAGCAGGAGGAGGCGCGGCTGCGGGGCCTGCTGGAGTCCCGGGGCGCCTGTGAGCAGCAGGTCCGGCGGCTGGAGGCCGAGCTGGGCGAGTTCGGGGAGGGCCTGCGGAGGCTGGCGCGGGAGGGCCTGGAGCCCACGGCGAAGGCGGGGACGGAGGACGAGCTGGTGGCCCGCTGGAGGCTCTACTCGGTGAGCAGTGGAGGGCCAGGCCGGGGAGCGGGCGGGTGCTGTCTGCACCCCGGGGTGCTGCCACTGGACTGCTGTGTGGTGGGAGGTGCAGACTGTCTGGCTGTCCCGGGGTCTCTAAGTTCCCGGGGAGGTCATAGACTAGGTGGGTGTTTACCCCCATTTTCTGGGTGAGGAAACTGAGGCCTGGAGAGATTTTTTTTTCCCCTCAACATCCCCAGGGCCACACGGCAAGCTGGTGAGTAAATAAGCCCAGAGGAGAACGAGGCAGCCGGGTTTGGTTCTGGAAGCCACTCCCTTGCCCGGTGTTGGGGTGAGGAAGTGGGGGGCGGGGACGTTACGTCAGTAGAGGAAGCTCACAATTTGGGATGATGAGGCCCAAACACGACGGGGGTTCTGGGGGCCAAGCAGCGAGCAGTGGGGGGCGGGGTGGGCTCCAGACCCCGACACGAAGTCCAGAGGACACCTGCCCTCCCTGCCCCGTGGGAGGGCACAGCCCAAAGTTGCACAGCCAGGGAGAGGTAGAGGCGGGTCTCCAGGCCAGCTCTGTGCGGTGCCAAAGCCGGGGCGCTCTCCACGGCCCGCCCTGCCTCCCTGGGAGCAGGAGCCCAGCATGGGGCCCGGAGTCCTGCCGGTCAAGGTCGGACTCCGAACTTCCCGGGACAGCAGGGAAAGGCTGCGTCACACAGCGAAGGGAAGCAGTTTGGGAATAGTCAGTGCAAATACCTTGCACCCTGCCACGAATGGTAACGGGGTTCACAGGGCATCTTCAGAGGCCAGCGAAGGCCCGGCTGTGACATCAGGTCTGCTGTTTAGGCACTTTGCAACCACCAGAAAACTCTTAGCCCAAGTGTCCTTTGGCGTAACACGGGGACATGGTGGAGACTCACCTCCAGGGATTGCTGCAAGGCTTAAATGAATGGGACACCCAGAGCACTGAGCATTAGGGGTCCCTACTCCCTGGACAGTTGTTTGTATTATTATTCGCTGATAATGCTGGGGGTTCGGTGGCAATAAAGAGCAAAAGTGTAGCTCAGAGCCGGGCGTGGTGTCTCATGCCTGTAATCCTAGCTCTCTGGGAGGCCGAGGCGGGAGGATCGCTCAAGGTCAGGAGTTCGAAATCAGCCTGAGCAAGAGCAAGAACCCCATCTCTACTATAAATAGGAAGAAGTTAATTGGCCAACTAAAAATATATAGAAAAAATTAGCCGGGCATGGTGGCACATGCCTGTAGTCCCAGCTACTCGGGAGGCTGAGGCAGGAGGATCGCTTGAGCCTAGGAGTTTGAGATTGCTGTGAGCTAGGCTGATGCCATGGCACTCTAGCTGGGGCAAGAGAGTGAGACTCTGTCTCAAAAAGAAAAGAAAAAAGAAAAGAAAATGCAGATAAAAAGCACTGGTAAACTTTCCACCTCCACAGAGCTGGAAGCTAGCTCAACAATGACACACTGCTGAACGACTACACGAAGACATGGCATGGCATATTGTGGGCAGCTTGTTGTTTTATGTAACAAATATCTGCCGAGCATCCAATGGCAGTGGCAGTAATAGCTGTGATCTGCGGGACACTGCCTACAAGCCTGCTTTAGGTCCTTGATCTTATCTCATCCAAGTAAGAACACTGTGAGGGAGGTGCTTTTACTTTCCCTGCTTTACACGTGAGGAAACTAAGGCAGGATGGTCAAGGGAGTGGCTCATGGTCTATGGGTGGCCAAGCCAGGACTCAGCCCATGAGCTCAGCTCCCGGGCGCTGTTGCTGCCATCAGCAGGGCCTGGTACGGTTCTAGGAAGCCAAGGTCTTTGCCCTCAAATGCTTGCAACCTGGTGGCGACCATAAATAAGCAGGCCATTCCCAGGAGGCACCAAAGTGCTGTTCTAGAGCGAGGGTCCGGAACTGCTTCATAAAGGCAGATGGTGACGGCTGTGGCGTTTGCAGGGCAGGCGGTCTCTGCTGCAGCTGCTCACCTCTGCCACCGTGGCGTGAAAGCAGGTGTAAATGAATGGGCGTGGCTGTGTCCCAGCAAAACTGTATTCACAAAAACAGGCCCCTGGTGGGGTTTGGTTGGCGGGCAGGGGCTGCAGCTTGCCAGTCCCTATTCGAGAGGCGAGTGGTCTAAGCATTATGTGAGGACACTCTGGGGACCCCAAGGAAAGGCAGCCAACCCCATCAGGTTCCGCGACGGCTTCCTGGCATGGGTGGTGCCTGAGCGAGGATGAGCTGGCCGAGAGCAAGAGCAGCCTGAGCGAGGATGAGCTGGCCGAGAGCAAGAGCAGCCTGGCTTCAAGAGTCTGGTCTTAGAGCAAGGTGCCCCCGAGGAAAACTTTTGACGTGCGTGCTTCCCGGTGTCTCTGCAGAGCCTGCTCGCCCAGCACAAAGACTTCGGAGCTGCTTTTGAGCCCCTGCAGAGAAAGCTCTTAGACCTCCAAGTCAGGGTCCACGCTGAGAACGGGCCGCAGCGCGACCTTCCTGGAAAACAGGCCCAGCTCTCGAGGTTGCAGGTAAGGAAGGCGTCTGTGGGGCCCAAGTCACCCCCACCCGGGTGCTCAGCTGCACCTAAGAGCAGCCCCCTTCCTTTGGCAGTAACCGGCAAAGCAGCAGCTGGCTTGAGCCAGAGAGTTAGACCCTTCCTTGAGATCTGACCTTTCGTCTCAACAGAATCTTTGCTTATGTATCTGTTGGTTCCTGGCCTCCAGTTACCCATTCTCGAGCCTAAGAAAACGATAAGCTTTTTGTTTACTCCTCAGTTCCGAAGTCTAACACTGGTATTTGTTTTTTTAAAATTGCTTTGCTATTAAGTATTCCTAATGAGTCCAGAGAGTTTGAGTTAAACAAACCAATCTGAGGATTAAGAATAAACGTTCTAAAAACACATGTGGACTGTAAGGCTGATCCCTGGACATTGTTGGCTGGATAAGGGGGCTTACAGGGTTTTAAAATGCATGTGATGCACATTTATCTTTTTAAAACTCAAGCTCACACATAAATTGAATGTTCTTGGGACGACATGAAAGATGGTGAATTTGGGGCCTGCCAAAGCCTCCCCTTGCCGGGACATCACGTCCTGGGAGCAAGGACCCTGGCAGCCCAGAAGCCAATCCCACAACTTCCTCAGTCCTCCCTGGACCTTCCAGAGAGCACACATCGCCCCGCGTCCGGGCGTCCTCCGCCACCACCTTCCAGGCCTGCCCTTGGCCGTGTCAGCAAGATGGCAAGACACGTACCTTTTGGAATGCCAGTCGCTCCCCTGGAGAGCCTGTGTCTGTTATTTTAGAAGGGAGGAAAAGGGAAAAAAAATAATGAGTGAAACTTAAACCAACAGACCTGTAAGAATATTCAATTTTGTCAGGAGTTTCTTTAAAACTTCTGGTCATCTGGACAGCCTGAGCCAGCAGTGATTCGATAATGGCTTTTTAAAACGCACTATCAGCCCACTGGGACCTGTCTGGGAAGGCCTTGGCCCGCGGCGGGGGCCACGCCTACCTGGGCTTGGCATGCTGACACCTAGTGGCCGTCACGGCTGCGTCGGGCCAGGAAACCCCGGAGTTAGGTGGGGCCTTTCGGCCATCTACACCCCCCTTCCAATTGGACTTAGGACACTTAACCTCTGTCTCAGTTTCTTATCGTCTTCCACAGGGACATAATAATGGAGTCTTTATAACGGTTCTATGAGGAATGCCACTCAACTAAAAGTTAGTTCATTATGCATTATTATATTTGTGCGAGGAGACACCAGGGCCCAAAAGGGGAAAGTCCTGTCAACTGAATCACAAAGCAAGCTCGTGAACGGCTGGAGGAGCCAGGTCCCCCGCATCACCGACGAGAACAAGCTGTGTTCTAATGCTGCTCCGCACCGACTAGCAGTGGCGCCCCTTGGCAAGTTCTCCAGCTTCCTCCGAGTCTCGTTCCCACCGGAGACTGATGGAGATACCATTACTCTAGCAGGGGGTAGCTGTAAACGAGTGAGATGATGATGCACATAACTCCGCTTGATAGCAGCAAGTGTCTTACACAGAGGTAACAGCGTCAGTGTAATGCCTACTGCTGTGGTTCATGACCGCTGGGTAGTGGCAACTCCACCCCGGAATCAGCAGAAGGGAGGGGGTGCGCATAGGCCAAATTAGTGACCAATCATGCGCAAAATCGCAAGGCTTCTGTGACACCCAGTGCGGTCCACGTGTGATCCATCTCTCCGAGTCATCATCCGTGCTATCTGGGTGAGTCCACACAGGGCAAGGTAGATGGTACTAGTGCGCATAGAGCCGTGCTGGTCGCGATGTTCTAGGTCACCGACTCATCCAGTTCCTACCGAAGAGAGCGCGCAGTTCTAGGGTTTTGCATCCGATACTCGCACTACAGCACCCACACAAGGTCTCGACCGTGACGTCCTTTCAGCTTGGACTTGTCCGCAGTTCACGACTGGTAAGGCAGCGTGTGCCAGATTGCCTTTCCAGCTGAGACATCTAAGTCTGCTGGCCCAGAACGATATGGAGGTGTTCTCAAAGAGTCGACTATAGCATGTCACGCCGAGGGCCTCCGGGCACGCACGACAGGGAGATATGAACATTGCGAGTCATAGCCGGCAAAGGCGTTCCGAACCGCCCATCTCGACGCCGACACGGACTAGCTGTATACGGGCTCCCAAACTGATGAGTCCGGGATGCGAGATCCTCTCACAGACGGACAGAACACATACTACAGCAGCCTACATATGCATGTAAAGGGTACTACAAAGAAGAGGCACTCATATCACAACAGCGAACATATATACGCAGCAGTTGCATCATAAATCTGCAGCACAGAGGAGGGGACATTTAGTGGCCTGCGCGCATACCACACATTGGCAAATTTGAAGAAATACTGCAAAAACCAGATCTGGCTTGGCAGTTTTCACAGGTAAGGAGGAGCGGAGTTAAGAGGGATTCAAGTCTAGGGCTTGCACGACTGTAGGATGACTTGTAGAAGAGAAATCATCTAACGAAAACTAGACAGTTCATCTAGGAGAAT